CCCACAAATGCCGCAACGGATATCGCCAGAATAGTGGCATATCCGATGTCCACGTCGCACGGGAAAGCCTAGTGCAGCGCGATGCGGAAATCCAGAGACACTGGCGGGCCAGTCGCCGGTGGGCGTGAGGAGAATGACTGACGACGAGGAGGAGAAATTTTGGTTGGATTATTGGTATTTTGATGCCAATATTGGTGGTAACGGTGATGTCAGAAATGGAGGACGGAAACAACAGCAGTCTACTCGCATGAGCCTGAGGGATGAAGGGACGGCCACCAGAGGGCTGATAGATGGTGGTTGGGGAGATGCCCCAAAAGATAAGGTGAAGAAGACTTTGGGCAATGCGAGGATGGATAGCTCAACAGCAGCATCATTATATCCCCCATTCCCACTTCATGGGAATATAACGGATGAGGATGGAGCAGATAAGGGTAGGGAGGCAGGGAATGAGGGAACAGGAATGTCATTGCTTTTCCTTGGCCGCTCGCTGTCGCAGTGGACGGCGAGGGACCGGGGCAACATGTTTGGGAAGCGAAGTTTCAAATGCCCTTTTGACACGGAACCCTGCATGTCCATCGACCGGCCGAATAGCTGCTGCGGGAAGGGGAGCAAGTGCATATTTGTGAAAGACACAGGGTTAGGAGATGTGGGATGCTGTGGGGCTGGGGAGAGCTGCTCGGACAATTTGATTAGGTGTGCGAGCGGGTACACTCCCTGCCCTGATAATCCAGGTGGTGGATGTTGTATACCGGGATACTCGTGTGTGGATCAAGGGTGTATGCCATTTCCGCTTCTATTCTCCTTCCAGCACCCCCTGCCATCACTTTTATCGATTCTCCCAAAGCTGACCGATGTGACATAGGTATATACATTTCAACAACAATCGTCACCGCAACCCCCGCGCCACCGCCGCCATCAACATTTACAGAACCTATAAACCCTCCCGTCCGCCCAACCTCCAATGCCAAAACCACCATCACCACATTCCAATCCACACGCCCGACCATAACCGGTTGCCCGACGGGCTTCTACGCCTGCAGCGCTGTCTACCACGGCGGCTGCTGTCGTACCGGCCGCGATTGTAACCCCACCTCCTGTCCCCCCATTTCCTCGACCACAATCGTGGATGACAACGGCGCCACGATTGTTATAGGAATCGATCCTACTGTGTCTCTGTCCTCTCCAGGTGGGGAAGGCCGGAGGTGTGCTGCCGGTTGGACGGGTTGTGCGGCTAGTGCGGGCGGCGGTTGTTGTCCGGATGGGTTTGCTTGTGCGGAGATCAGCTGTACACTTTCAGCTGGAGGGCGGGGGACGGCGGTAGTGGGGAAGATGGCGCCAGTGAACGGTGCGGGGAAGGTGGTGGTGGTTGGTGGTTGGGCTAATTTGACGGTGGTGATGATGGTGATGGCGATGATGCAGTGGTTCATGAGCGGGTAATTAAATCTTAAAAATAACTTTATTTTTAGCGTTTGGACATTTCCATTGATGGTTTGGTGGGCGGATCTCTTCTTTGCCATTTTTGTATACCATTATCATTTCCCTTCAATGATTTTATGGGACGGAACAGGCTTACTGTATTTATAGCATCACTGAGCGGACCAGCTGTCTCTAAATACCTTTCAACCCGGTTCCTCCAGTATGTATGTATTTTGATCATCTTTTTGAGGTTGATATAGTTTCTACGAACTGGAGAATCTGAGTGAAATTGAATCCATGTAATCATTACATATTCTTCCCAATGCCTCCGTTTATGTGTCTCTATACACCCGTCTATATCTATATGGTTTATTTGTCACCTCCTTGCACCATAAAGAAAGAAAAACATCATGTAAAGGAGGAAATACAAAATCAAAAAAGAAAGTGGCAAGAACAGACAAATATGTTCAGTGAGAAAGATATGATAGAAAATGGTGCTAGTCCCATGTCAAAAAAAAGTTAGCACAAAACAGAGAAAAATAAAAACAATCTAATGTAACCAAACATAAACAGGATAAGGCGAATCACTATCTGATATGGTGCATGGTTAAAGTTTGCTTGGTTTCTCATGCTTCCTCACCAACACGTTACTCCCTGGAGATGGGTCGAAAGTGAGGTTGTTGACCGGGTTTTGTTCGCTGGCCCGATAAAACAGGTCCTCATAGACCTTGCCATCATAACGGCCCAAGGAGCTGTCAAGCTGCCAATCCGGGAATTTCCATGCGTCAACAAGCCGGACGACATGGGGCCTGATATCGTCAAGGAGCTTGACAACTGCTTTGGTCCGTGCGAGAGTGATTTGACGAATAGTCACAGCACCAGACGTGAAGAAATCAGCGGACTCGCGTTCCAATGTATACAGCGCATGGAGCCGGAAGAGTTTGTGGAGGACAGCAGCTGTTTCAGAGTCCAGGGCGGAGGCGGTGGCAGGCGCAGTGACGCTTTCGTAGAAGTTCTTCACGACGAGGTATTGTGAGTGGGCAGTCGAGAGACGCTAGATATCGATAAGCAAGCTGTTCCATGAGCGTTTTGCAACATCACGGTGCTTCAGGGCTTCGAAAGTTAGGTAAGCAGCACGCCAGGCAAAGGCGTTCACGATATCAGCATCATTGTCAAGAATGTCGAATGCAGCTCCATGTCTCGGCGGTTGATATA